CCCCAAAACCCCAAAACCCCAAAACCCCATTAATTTATAATTTTGCTCAAATAAGTTAATTAAGCTAATTTTTAATTCAAGTATAATTAAACTGGATTTAAGTAAATATATCTCATTTGTTAATGTATAATATTTTTCTGGAGTAAAACATAATCTCGTTGCATTCATCTTTATCTTTTAGTTGTTGAGCTTCTAACACTTGTCTAATGAGATCCCTCTCTCATCTGACTTCTTCCTGATCCTTGGGAATATAAACTCTAATTGGCTCCAACTCTCATTTTCTTGGGAATTGCAGCATCAATCATTGCACTTTCAAGCATATTAAATGCATTCTTCTCCTTTTGCTAAGTTTCTTGTAGTTTTCGAAGTAGATCAGCCTCATATAACTCAAGCTATTACGCTTCAAGTTCATAATTCTTGATCTACATCTTCTCAGATTCCATTTTTTTAGAGGTCTCTTCCCTCGCTCTCTCGTGCTTGGTTACCAGGTAATCATTTATCTTGTACTAAGCATGCTACTTTTCTGCCTTAAGTTGATTTTTACGTTCTTAGTTTTGCATGACTTAATCATATTCTAGTTTATTCTTAATTTACTACTGCTATCTAATATTCTATTTTAACTATTCAGCATCCTACTTTTTGGATTCGTACATCTACAGCTGTTTTTATTTTATGTCAATGAGTTATTTCTATCTTTTTTCATAGTTTGTACTTTAATTAGTTTTCAAGGACCCTAAGTTTTATTGCTGCTCAACAAGCTATTTCTAAAATTTTTCATCATTCTTCTTTTTTAAATCTAATATTTGCGATGTTTTTTTCTTCGTTTCATTAATCTTTTTTAGAGCTCTTTCCTCCTCTAACTGAAGCATCCTCACTCTATTTCTTAGTAATTCCACATCCCTCTCTACCTAAGTTCTAATCTTTTTAGCTTGATTGTAAGTTAAATCTGGACTTTCTAAATCGACCTCCTTTTAATTCTCATCTAAGTAATTTTAATTACTTTATTTCCCTGATGATGGTGGAATAGAGCCAACTAATTGTACATCATATTCAACCCCATTAGGATGGACATCTTATTACAACTGACTGCTTGCAGATTCATGGCCATTGTTTGAAGAGTACTAATTCTTGATTGGTGGCAGTTTACTTTACTGTTTTTCCATGTTTGTTTAATTAAAACTTTAAATTTTAATAATTCTAAGACTTTACTCGTGAGTTATTTCTAGTAGAGATAATTATAACTTTTAATTTCATTTTAATGGCTTAATCTCCGTATTAGAAATACTACTCGTAAAAACCGACAGCTAATTAGCATATCAATAGTAATGAAATCATCAGCAGTCCTGATTAGTAAGTTTCAAATTCACTTCTTAACCTAATAATAGAAATAAAAGTATTAATGGGTAGAGCAGGACATCGATGAAAATTGACTCTGAAAACAGTACAAAATAGTTCAGTGATAGTCTCAATGTCTAAAGGAATCAAAGTTTGAAATAGCAATAAATATTTGACTATGGGGCAAACAAATAGGCCTCAAATAGTGTTAAAGTAGATAAGATAGAAGTATTGGATCTTTCATATAACAAGTAATTGAATTCAAAATCTAAACAGGGTACCTAAATAAGTCCAGATAAGCAGCCTTAACCTCATTCAGGAGATAATAAATTAATCACAGAGAGAAATCTTAATATCCCATAAATATAAGAAAATACAACTTAGAATGAGATGATCTAAAATTAATAACAGTAAAAATAGGATGAACAATCGCTGTAATCTACTCTTAGTAACTAGTTTAATACTTATCTTAATAAAGCTTCGAATCTTATATCAATATTTAGATCCAATGATAATGATTAACCACTATTAGTTCAAAAAAACTAGAGAAAATTGCAGTCATAGCATGAGAGTCTAGAACGAGCTGAATTCGAGTAAATAAGGGATTAAGTCAAAGATGAAGAGTATAGAAGAAATTAAACTGAAAAAACAAAAGATTAAATCATGAATGAAATATATATCAGGCCACAAGATGTAGAGAAAAACAATAGATAAATTGTTGAGAGTTAAACTGAAGAAATAATGATAGTAGATAAAGGAGGAGAACTTGATCCTATTACACCCTTAATCTCATAATAGAATGGCTATCACGAAAATCTATTAAAAGCATCATTACAATCGAACGGGTAGATTATAGATACCGATTAGATTTTGAAAAATCAAGGAGCACATCATTTGTACATTGAACAAGATCGAATATTGCGTGAATAATAGCAGCTATATCAGCAATAACTACTAATTAAAACCAAAGATGGGAACAATAAGGGTGGATTCAATGCTTAAAATTAGTAATTCAACCTCAACTACGAGCAAATGGGTGAGTATTACAAACAAAGGAAATAGCAAAAGTCTATCAACAAAAGTAAGAATAATTTTATGCAACTATTGTTACAACTTTAGGAGAGTAAAAAATCGATGATGCGATGGAGTAAATTTTAGCGAAGGCATTTTTGGATAATTTAGCCACATAGAATTAACCAACTAAAAATTAATATCCTAATGGCAATCAAAAACCCTCTTTCTTTTCAGAATCAATTGTAAAAGGAAACATTAAGGAAGGAATGAGTAAAAAGAATGGAGATTAAAATGTACTCATAGATCTTAACAAGTTTAATTTGGTTACAGAATCAGAATTAAGTATGTCTCACCAAAATAGTTTCGTTGGAAATCAGGTGATATTGTCGCATGATAGATTTTTGTAAGATCCAAATAGCTGGGGTTTGATGTTTCAAGATACAAATGCCTTTAATAATGATCAGATCCATTCGCCGTTCCAGGAATTTAGTCGTTAACAACATTTAGCTGAGCATCATCATGAACCAATCGATGAAAAACAATATGAGTTAGATTTACAAAAAGCTATTGTTATGTCTTAAAAAGAAAATAAAGGCAAGTCATCTAATCAAAGGAACTTAATCATCGACAGTAGCTTGCAAAAGGCTTAGGATTAAAATCTGAAGGAGTTCATTGACGAGCAAAATATTAAAGTAAGCTAATATCGAGAATAATTGCCATTACCAAAATAGCTAGTGGGTGTTAAGACACAGCAGAGTTAGAATAATCAATAGCACAATCATAACCATCTGCAAGATTCACATGCATAGTATTATGCAGGGTCTCTTAATGTATCACCAGTAAAAAACGTAGAGCCGAATAATACAGGAAGACGAGATCAATTAAAGTTAGGAGAGATATAGATTTAATTACTAGACACAGAGTAGAAAGGTAGTAGTAGATAGGCTTAATCAACACCTTAATCAACTTAAAGTTTAAGTCAACTATAAAACTCTTTACAAAACAAGGCCATCACTTTGAAAGTTGCTTAACACTTAAGAGAGGAGGACAGTCCAAGAATGAATGATGTTGATGACAATTAAACAGATCCTAATATAGCACAGCTGGATGCATCTAACCTCAATAAAATTGATGAGAAAAAATTATCGATATCAGAAGACACTAACCCCAGCAGTAATAATTAGGATGAGAAAGGAAAAGATCAATTTGATTTAAATAGAAACATAATTGACAACGAATAATAATCAAACTAAAAGGGCAAAGGCATTCTTAAAAATAAAGCTAAACAAAAGAAAAACAACGGATGTTGCCATATTTATTGATAATATTGCAATCAATTAGTTAAGCACCTTATCTTTATGATAGATAGAAGTCAATATTAATGAAATAAGTATATAAAGTTTATATGTTTTGAAATTTAATCCAAATTAAATTATTTACCTCTTTCTATCACTCATCTTAATTAACTATTTACAATTCATGATAGACTCAGTGCAATACAATTCTTAATGTAGTTTAAGATTTGTATTGCAATAAATAGGTCATCCTTTCAACAACTATAGAGCATAAGTCATTTCAAACTATTTTTGACTTTGAAATAATGACTCAACCATGTTAGTTTCTTAAACCTGCTACTATATTTACTAATGCCTTTACATCTCACTTTATATGTCTCATTTATCTTCTTCTCCAATTCCTTCTTATTCCTTTTAAAATATCTCTTAACGTTCTCTGCGTGAAACTAATTCATTAATAAGACAAATCATTATTTTCATACCTTCGAACCCAAATGCATCTAGAGATCAAGCTTTGTATCAAGGATCTTCTTGGGACAGAGTGAACATTGGAATTCTCCTTCAAAATTAAAGCGCTACTTCATTTTCTAGATTTGCTGGAAGTTCAGATTGGGGTTATGAATCTCTTCTGCTGATGGTACGAATCCATACTCATTTAGTTTCTCAGTGTCTAGATGTGACTTAGTAGCGAATCTCTCGTTCAATCTTTTTAACATATTTCCTTACTTATTATATGCTTTCAATGTTATTATGATTATAATTAAAAGATAATTATTAAATTGTTTTAACTTCATCATCAAATTACAATGGAGTGTGAATTATGCAAATAAGGTTACGATCGAGAAAAAACCATACCACTTATTATTAAGCCTTGCTCGCATACTTACTGTAGTAAATGCATTTAAAACTAGAAATAAAAAGATGGGTAGTTATATTGCCCAAATTGTAGATATGATTAAAAATCATATCTAAAGCCAAGACAAGATCAAAATTAACACTTAATAAAGTAAAACCAGGGATCTAGCATAAATATTGAAGAATTGTTTGTTAACTAAGGTCTTCTCTCAATTATAGAATTTAGAAAGAATGAACAGCTAGCTATTTAAAAGATGAAAAGATATTCAGTTGAAAACCCCAGTTTTTTTAAAAGTGTTGATGAAACTATCACTCGAAATTAGTAACCATATCAATTGGAACTTTCAGAGATATCTCAGGATGAACTCATTTACAAGGAGATTATTCAAAATCAATTCTTAGATAAGAGAACTCTTGGTCCTCAGGTGTACCCTTACAGAATCTATGTCTTCAATCAAAACTCACTTCTCATTAACTACTTTTTAATGAATGGAAAGACCAGGATGTTGTGGCTGTTCAGGAGGCTAAATTTATGCAAGCATAAACATTCATGCGCTGAGAGTGCCTTTAGAAAGCTATTTGAAGTACTTTCATTCTATAGTTTAATCAGAGTGCCACTTAGATATATTGTAGGTGCTCTGAGTTAAGAAGGTGAAAATATAATGGATTCCAAATATATTATTGGAGCAGAAATAGCTTCATTATTTGTCATAGGTGGGCTTAGATCTGCTGGATGCATGGTCAGATTTATGAAAGAGGAGATTATCCAGTAATCTTGATAGATTTATTCATTTAATAATTATAATCTTAAAGTTTCAATCAGAATTACCAAAATATCAAACTGTGGGGTTTTGGGGTTTTGGGGTTTTGGGG